GATTGATAGTGATAAGCCTTCTATGGAATATATATATGACGCTATGGAGAAATACAAAAGAGAGATAGCCCAAAACTTTGATGATGATGAGAACTGCTACAAGCCTGTTTGGGAGATTATTGATGAGAAGTAGGATAGGCAGCTACATCGGCCATTGCATGCAGCTGGTTATTATTTGAACCCAGCTTTTTTTTTATGTTGACAAGGATATACACACAAATGCCACAATTATGACTGAATTTAATAAGTGTGTAGATGTGTTAGTCCCTGATCCTGATATCCAGAATACTATATGCACTGATGAGCTGATAAATTACAAGTACTTATTAAAGTCTTTTGGGAGTCCAAGGGCGATGAGGCAAAGGACCAAAATTGATTCAGGTAATCATAATATTCTTAAGTTCATCAAGTTCAAGTAATCAAGTTTCATTTTTATATAATTTTATATCTTTGTGGCCAATTGGTGGAGCCAACATGGGTATCGTTCTCCAAATTTACAAAAGTTGGCCATTCGAATATTAAACCTAACCACTTCCTCATCTGGTTGTGAGTGCAATTGGAGTACTTTTGAAGGGGTAAGGCCGTAAGGGTAATTTGTATAATTGTATTAATAATACATGAACCATAGATTTTAATTAGTTTCATTTGATTTTGTTAGATTCATACAAAAAAAAGGAACATGTTTGAATCAAAGAGGTTCAATGGCCTAGTCTATGTCAAGTATAATCGATTCTTGAAGGACAGGTTTGCTAAGAGAGATAAGAGAGATCCCATCAGATCAAAAAATATGGACAATACTATGAAGTGGTTAGTTGATGATGATGAGGTCGAGGGGCACGAAGAATTGACATGGGACATGGTCATGGATGCTTCAGGGATATCAGTTGACCCTCCTAAGGCCACTAGATCTGTTGCATAGAGAACGAAGGTAGAAGAGGAAGAAAAGGCAAATTCAAAAGAGACAGAAAAGGACGACCAATATGTCGAGGAGAGTGACGACTTCGATGAATATGATGCCAATGCAGCTGACCCTAATTTTCTGATGATGAATGATGAATGTTGAATAATTATTAAACTTTTAACTTTGATTGAACTATTGTCTATTGAAGATTCTTTTGAGTCTTCAAGTATTGCATTCAGTTTTGCTTACTTCCTCATGGTGGTGTAATACTGTAATGTGATTTGTTAATAGTGGATTTGTAGTTTCACTAGTTTGCTACTATGTGGTAACTTTGGTTTGGTAATTTGGTTGGTTGGTAAATTTTAAGTTTTAATTGGATATGGATTATGTACCGACTTATGGTTATACTTATGGAGTGTGTCCTAATATGTAGTATACTTTGAATTATGATGTGCCCTAAATACCTAGTTCATATATTTTATACAATATATAACTGTAGATACCTTTTTTTATTCAACAGAACCGCCTAGGTTCTGAGCGCCCGCCTAAGCGTTGGGTGGCCTGGACCCCCCAGACCGCCTAACGCTTTTTGAAACACTAAACCAACTTCATCTCTTCATTTGCTAAAGCCATTAATTTAAAACACATGTCGGCCTTGGTGAGCTTCACAACATCATCAACTAACCTTGACACTCATATTGTTAAGAAGCACTGGAAGTCTTTGGGCTTTCTCTCACCACCAAAGCAAAGCGAATAGGGACGAGTGATGTCACTTGTTAGTACTAATTACTTTCCAAAAGTAACAAATAGCAAGCAAAATGTGTAAACCTGAAGGACAACATTCCACGTTTACAGAGAAGTGCAAGAAAGAAAGACCACTTGCCTATTTTGACAGGACTAAAAAAGTCAAAATTAAAAAGTATTCATTTTTTAAAAAATTTAAATCAATCAAAAGTACTTTCATTATGATGCTCTTAACTCCAAGGGCATTAAAATTGAATTTACAATTAGTAGTATTCAAATAATATTTCAGCCATTTTATTTATTAATAAGTGCAGTAACAAATTTGTCTATTATTAAATTTTTTATTTTTATAAATTATAAAATCTTTGCTATTTATTTAGAAAAAAAAGAACTGAATTCTTCCCCCGAATCAGCCGAAGCACTTAATTGCTTCATTGTTCAAACCAAATCGAAGTACGCTCCGAAGTGAATCTCACAACATTGCTTAGCACATCCACTAAAGGATAAAAAATGTCCAATGAAAAGTGGGTTGCTCCCCAAACATATAGATTAAACACGGTTTATTTAGATTTTCTGCCATCCAAATGCTTTGACCATTAGTCCACTTATCAAATTTAAGACACTCCTTAAAGCATGTGTATACTTGCATAGGCTTTGGAGAGTGAGTGTGTCGTGGCTTAATCTTGGTCTCGTACTCTCTCTTCCGCATAAACTCCCACACCATGCTTGGGAATAATATATATGGTTATAGATGAAATTGATGTTTGCGTTAGCTTTGGCAATCGCAACTTTAACCATAGGCAACTTCCAGGAAACTTCTACATGTCTTCAAGCATAGCTCTAGACAATGTGCTACACAAGGAATCCAAAATATGTTCATGAATAATTGGCACCATTGTCTATGACAATTTTGCCCAACCCCCCCCCTCGAAACAAAAACTTCATCAACAATGTCACTCATCAACTCAAACAAGTAATTTGTATCATGTGAGCGGTCCGATGCATCAACAAATTTCACAAAAAAAAAGTCAATAAAGGGCAACTAACCAAGTAATTAATAATTGAATGGAACCTTCCATCAAACCATCCAACACAGACAGTTGTGACCCCATATTTCTTCCAGCCATCTATATGGGAATTCTAATCCTTCTTAACATTGTTCACAGCATGTCTCAATACTGGCTCCTTAAACCATAGTTACCCGGGGCAGGACCAAGCAATGCTCCAAGATCGAGACCATAAGCACAAATCGAGGAAGCCGCAATATTCTGTGGTCAAGGAAACGAGTTCCATACATAGGCCAATATAGGTATCGAGATCCCTGGCTTTTAGAGATCAAGTTCCATATCTGCAAAAGAGAGGATCCATTACGGGATGGGAAAGCGTTCTGCTGTATTAAGATCGAGGTTCCCAAAGTTCAATTATTCATTGTATTTTAATATGGGAGCGAGTTACCGTTAACAATATCTTTAACCTTTTCCAAATTCACAAACTCAAGTATCAATTTAAATAAGTAATTTTGGCTTTTCTTTTACACGATGATTAGAAAATGTCTTACCTTTTGTACTTACACCAATGTCCCTTTTTTGTGAACTTATTTGTCCTTTACAAAATGCTCTCGAATTGGAGCTTGGGGTTCTGATGTGGATTTTTTTGCCCGAAAAAAAACAAGGTAGGACATTGAACTTCAATTAGGTCTTAAAACTTGTAATTTAAAAATGTTCCAATAGATTGTTTTCAAAAAATAAATGCAAGTGACTGCTAAGTTCTCCTTTGCTAAACAAGAAAAAAGGTAAGACATTGCCAAATAAAATTCCCAAAGCTCTCCTCCATCAAAGATTGTCGGGACTCAATGACCAATACACTAGAGAGACCTAACATTTTCAAGCATTCATGTTATTCCAGACAAGGTAACCCCATGTGTGGAGCGATTTAAATAACCAACAGTCATAGGATAGAAGCCTTTTGGAAGGTAGACAAGACCGAATGAGAGCACATTTTTGGGAGCCAAATGCAGGAGATGTAGATCTTCCTAGAAAGGCAACTCCCAATATCCAAACATACCCTAAAAGAAAAAGGCCAATAGGGTAGGTGAAAAAGAGGCTTTTAGTAATAGAGGGAGGATGGGTAGAGATTTAACATAGAGACATAGAGATCAGATATAATGACTAAAAAGTGGTTAGAGATAAAGAAAAACTATTTTTTGATGGGTTAGGGGCACCATGTTTTGCAGCCATCCACAAAAGAGAGGCCTCATACATCTTCCTCATGAGAGATGCGCAAGGGTGGCACAGAGAGAGACAGAGAGAGAGAGGAGGGGATTGGATGGGATGCACACAGAAGAGGATGAAGCTCAGAAAGAGATGAGGAGAGAATGGGTCATAGATGTTGGGATTGGGAGCGGGACCAAGAGCAAGATCAAGATTAGGGGAATTGTGAAATACTAGAAGATCCCTATGGTTGGGAGCAGTGTCCGTGCAATGCATGTGTTAGCGATCTAGATCCCCATAAGTTAGGGACCAAGATCAACCTTTTGGAGATCTTGATCCCAACCTTTTGGGGATCTTGCTCCTAGCCTTAAAGAGTATGTACAGTCTAGAACTATATATGCTTTTAGTAGGGATCTTTTATAATTAGCAAGCAATGCAACTATATTAAAGGTATAGTTGTGTTGCTAGCTGGCTATAAATAAATACAATCGTCAGTTTAGTTATTTTCTTGGTCTTTAAAGTCGGGAACTCGGGATAGAGATTCCCTAACAGTGGAGATCAAGATTCCCAAATTTAAAAATTCAGATCCCTAGAAGATCTCTTTCCCGGAATGCTGGAGTGATTTTTGGAGCAGGATCACCACCTATATTGGGAGATTCTAGTAACTATGAAAAGGGTAACTAGAGAAATAAAGTAAAAAAAGCATCGGTAGACAAAGACAATGGGACAAGTACCTTCTCTCATTCTTTTCCAAATATTGAAGTAGATTGAAATCAATAGCCAGGTGGGGAGCTATGCCCGAGGAGTGTGAGGGGCTCATAGAATCATCAACTATGTATATGTGTGTGTGTGTGTTCATATTTATGTGTGTATATAATAATGTATATATACGAGAGAGAAAGAGAGAGGGAATAACAGCTGAAACCAGCGGGTATCCCCCATATTTGGCCTTGAATTTTGATTTGTGTTTAGGAGAGAGTGAGAAAGAGAGAAAGAGAGAGAAAGGGAGAGCATAACAGCTTAAATCAAAGGGTTTCCAATTGCATAATCCAATAATCCTGAGCGAAAAATTATGAGAACTTCACAGGAATCTGGGTAAGTTCAAAAGAAATTCACAGAAAGAAGAAAATGAAATAATATCATACCTCAAAGTGATTTTGCAATTGCCAAAAAGAATACCCTGTACCTTAGCTTCCTTTACCTGCAGACATTTCGTACGGTTAGTAATGATAACTACAGAAAAATATTATGATTGAACAGAAAGCAAGAACAAGGGGACTGCTTTTATCAGCAGAATTCTAGATACTATGTCATTCTAATCCACAGACATGACTACCAAAATCCCAGAGAGAAGGAAAAACGAATTTCTGGACCTTTAAAACTGATGACACAGATCCATAAGTATCACTCTTTTTAACATCCTCGACTAGGAAATCTTCAGTGACCATATGGCGCAATATCCGAGAAGCATCTCCTTTGGAGAGAGGTTTTCCAGCTCCATGAAGGCTCAGCAATTCATGCTTGTACCTCTTAACCTGAAGTGTGGAACATTCTACAGTTCATTAAGCGTACTTGACCAATAAATAAAATGAAACAAGAGAACATGATTATGACAGGACATACTTGCTGACTCAAGGAACCCCTGTATACTTCCAAAATATGTGCTGATGAAAAACGTTGACCCGTTGATTTGACTAATTCCACCTGAACAAAACCATTAAACAATAGAATACATCTCAAATTTATGGATAAACATAAGTTACATAAATCAAGGATAGAAAATAATGATGTACCAATCAAGATGAAAGAAAGAACCACATTCATGACATATTGGAACACAGTTATGAACACATTACTCTCCCTCACCAGTTGCTTTGCAATGTCTGTGACATTCTTCTCAATGTAGGTGATATTCTTGCAACAGTTGTCACAAGTTTTACGACAATTCATGGGGTCAAACTTCTCCCCAAAATGAGCAAGTTGCAATAACCTTCTGCAATCTACATCATTTTCACAATAGCTAACCTGTTTTCAATTTTGAATTCACCAAATAAGAAAAATCAGCCTGTTCACACCAGGATTTCACCAACAAGAGTGTCAATTTTAGAAACTACCATGCGCAAAAGGTTCTCAATGTTCGCTTCCAATATCCTCCCAGAATTTATAGCAGGTGCACGCCCAGACCCATATGTTGAGGAGTTTTGTTCACTAGCTCCTTGAACAAGCATATGCTTGACTCGCATCTATACAACCAGAAAAATTATAAAATCTTCTTTACCTGTTAAATGTATATTTTAACCACATTCTAGTCTACAATATGCCAGAGGACACATTCGAGTTGGGAAAAATGTCAACATATTCAACTGACATAATCATTATAACTGTAAACAACACAAGAAAAATGTCAATATATTCAACTCACATAATCACTATAACTGTAATACAACACGCATGAGGACTGAAGACCGTCCCTACCGGCACGTCCGCACTCCTATGAAACAAAAAAGAATACGCAACCAAACCAAATCGTAAGTCCAAAAATGGAATCAGAAGCATCAGCACTACAAAGTCAAGTAAAATTCAGACCTACATTTACTCACCTGATGATAACCTTCAATAGATTTGGGTAGAGAGTGATGGATGACAAACCTCACATCAGGTTTATTGATACCTGGAAGCCCAGGACAATGCGTTACAAATATAACTTACAGGAACTGAATACAGGCATTCATGTGGTGGAGGAGACATGTGGATACCCATTCCAAAGGCCACAGTAGCACAGATTATATTGATCTCATCTTTGCTCCATTGTTTCTGGACATATGCTCGTTGTTGAGGTTCCATGCTGCCATGATAAAATGCTGCTTTGTGACCCAGTTCCTGAGTAATGTACAAGACTAAACATCAACGTAGAATTCATGCTGCAAATACCAACCCACAACTGAGAAGAAAAACAGCATGAAAGGATTTCAACTCAAGACGAAACTACAATTAGGATGAAAACTCAAGTTGCAAAGCTATACGTTCAATTTGTCTAACATTGTTGTCATGATTCATGAAAGATGGCATCACTACTATCATAATGACAGCAGTGAACAATAAATACAAACTTTTCCATTGTAATAAGAATACTGAGTGTTCTATGAACATCTGTGATTCACCTTATGGTTAACCATACTCCTATCTCACCTGATGACATTGTTGAATGACATGTGCACATACCTCCAAACCTTTATTGCTTAGTACATGTGTGGATCGGGATGTTTATCCAATGTTGATTTGGTCCACAGGGTAGCATGGAAGCCTTTTAGATACCAACCCAAGCCTAGCCCACCGAAACTCAAGTGAGTCATGGCTTTACCAATGCCACACAATCCATCCAGACCATGCCTCATAGTCCATCCGGACCACACTCCCACTGGAGCTATCACATCATTATAGTCATAGTTTTACATCCTCTCATAAGGCCTTCAAATGGCCACATAAACCCAGCACTAACCTTATTCAGAGACTGTCAAAAATATCTCAATATGAGACCAAACTTTGGGACTTACATTCTTATGATCGTTAGAAGACTCTCCACACAATATTGGAGAAGTTTGGATACAAAATTGATGAGTCTTTAAATAGTTCACCCCTCAAGAGGGGTTTGACGGTCAGACCTTTAGAAACCTCATCAAATCATATCAAAATGAGGTGAAACTTTGCAGATACCAATATTTGGCCATTGTTTGCCTCTCGTACAAGAATCATCGCAATTGGACACCATTTGATAGATTTCTTGATGCACAACCGATCAATATATGCCCTGACTGACGGACCCTCTCATGATAGTTGGGGATTGACGTGAAACCTTTGGGACAATCATATTTGAGGTGTGATAACCCTCTTCTTTAGGTTTTAGTTCATTTGGGGATGACTCAACCCCTCATCGGCAATCAAGATATACATCCATCGGCTGTCAAGCACTCGGCTGTCAAGCACACATATAGTCGTCAGGATGACCTCCGGTTACTAAAATCGAGATTTCTCCCAATCTATAAGGAATTTTCTCATGGGACCATAACCATTTGATTCCTGACTCAATGTCGTATCAATCATGGAAGGATGACCTCAGATATCTTAGAGATATCCAGTGTAAAAGAGGTTTAAGCTGCAACAGATGCCTTAAAACTGTGTCAGAGCTTAACCTCCGGATCCTCATAAGTCTTGGAATATGAGGAGTTTTAGAGCAAAATTTGGTGGAGATGCTCCTCATGACCCTTCTCCACAATAAGGTCAATAATTTTCCAAGGAGGAGTCTTATTTGCTGCCAAGATCAGCAGCAGAAAAGGGTCAACTTCACAAGGCACATCTCCCTCATTATGGAGCCATTTGAGGTGAGACTTGGACCGTTGGAGTCGGTCCTCTCTCTTCATGCCAAATTTCAGGTCCAAAGGACTATCAAAAAACCGCATTAGTTGAAGTGAAACATGTTCAGACAGGTAATCTCAACCAACAGAGTTGCAGGAATAGCCAACTTCCTAGATTTTCTTGTGGAAGGATATGGTCAAAATGTGTTTGTTAGAGTTTTATTCAAATATGATCTAAATGTGACCAAAACGTATTCATTTGAGCACTTTGGGGGAGGACCAAAAGGAATTTAACTTAATCCCATGAAACTGTTATGTGAGAATGGGATCAAACCACTTGGCTTTTTCAGATAAGATATGAAGATTCAAGATTACCTTCAAGAAATTCTCTATAAAAGACCTCTCTCACACAATAGAGAAGGGGGGTATTCCTGCATAGCCTTACACGAAATATACAAAATAGTAAAGAGAGAGAGAGAGAGAGAGAGTGAGTGACTTTCCCACACTGGTAATATCTTTTTGCAAGTCTAGAGAGAAATTGTCCATATTACTTTTGCCTCTGCAATGTGTTGATATAACAAGAGAGGAAAACACTTGACAGCCAAACCCTCTCAAGGCCCAGATTCAAGAAGGAGTAGAGGGATAGGCAGCATCCTTGTGAATAGATCGGTATACAGGCATATGCACCCCTTTGTACTTTGCTATTTCCTTTGTATATTTTTTCTTTTCTTGAGTTTTTGTATGCCTTGAGACATCAATTAAAGGTGTTTGAACCAGTATATTGGTTTAGAGTAAATTGCACAGGGATTGGAAATCTCTAAAACTCCTCACGAACCCAATCACATATAAAAAAACCTTGTTTTTCCATTATATGAAAATTAGGGACGAATTTTTTCCTTTAGTTCTCTTATTATTTCTCATCCTATTTGAGTTATAATTGCACAATTTTTATCTACACATTTTTGGGGAAATAGAACGTTAGCATGGTTCGCTATGGAATTTGTTTTGGATTCTAAATAGCTAAGATCAATATTGCTAGAAACTGGAGTTATCAAAAAAATATTGCTAGAAATTGGAAGCATGATCCATGTTGATTGAATCACGGTTTGGTGCACTTATAAACCTTGGGATTTGATGTTATGGAATCTGCATTTCTTCGAGGTTTCTAAAAAGTAGAAGCAAGATTCCAAAATTTAAAGAACATGATCTTATGAAATTTTTTTGATTGAAGCACCGAAGCAAGATTCCAAGACAGAATAGCCACAAGTCATCTCCATGGCTCACCCAGTCAAGTTCGAGTTAAGAGTCAATAAACCTGGATAAGAACAGTAGGGCATAGCAAACATTCACCATTAATGGAATAATAGTATTCCATCGTCCCTTGAATCAAGAGTATGACCATGTACTTCATATGTTATAACAAAAGTCACTGGGAATGGGACAACAAACCTGTAATCTCTCTGCAACTTTCTCACAATCTATTTTTGAAAGACAATATACTATCCCACATTCATCGTGATGGTAGTCTCTGATGAATTTATCAATGTCCTCCAAGCACCTTTTTGTCTTTGGAATTATGAAATACCTACAAGGTTTACAACTTTTTAGCAATCCTAGAAGCCCAAACGATATAAGAAAATTATCTACTTGATAGCCTACCTCAAATTTGGGCGGTTAAAACTTTGATAGAAAACCACACAATTAACAAGACCAAGAGCTTGCACCACATCCTCCCGTACACTTGCGGTGGCAGTCGCAGTTAATGCTAGTACAGGTACAGTGGGAAATTTTTGCTTCAAAATACCAAGACCCTAAAGAAAATACAAAAGAAAATAAAATATATAAGCAAATTAAAATATAGAGGAATCTATTAGCATTGATCTCAGGTAGGTGATTGTGTAGAACCATATAAAAAAGGTTCAAACCTGATAATCTGGTCGAAAATCATGCCCCCATTGGCTTACACAATGAGCCTCATCAACAACTATTCTGGCTAATAACTCCCGGTTGTGCAGATCAGCCAAGTGCCTCAATAAAACATCACTTCTGCAATGTGAATGCTAATTTTGTTGATGCCGGAGAATAATCATCACGTAGATATATTTGAAAAATAACCAGGTTAAAAAGGCATTGGTTTTCATTTTCATTCACTTCAAATAACTATTCCAATAAGATGGGCCACAAATAATGGATGGCAAAGCATGCATGAATAGAACAACTTCTAGAAACAAGCACGTGGATTTTTGTTGGTAAATTACAAACAGGCGTATAATCGAAACTAGTGTTTTAAAAATTACTGAGCCTAAATCTAACTCACGCAAGTCAACCATAAATGGCAACTGATGTGTTTCTTGGGACCCCCAACTGGCTAGGGGACCTACTATGCATGGAACCAACCACGTCACTTTTCAAATTCAAGAGATTTTCCATAAGAATCGAGTAAGTTCCAAACTTGGACTGAGTATGACAAAACAATTCAGGTATATAAGGGCAAGGGAGCAAAACATACAAACACCATATCGTAACCAGGACCTTCTTAGGCCCTAAAATTATGCATTTAAAGCTAATTTGTGGCATCTATCTAATCCAAAGATTGGATTTCATAAAACAAGTCCTTATTATCTCGCAATTCCAAGATTTGAAAGTTTGATTAAGGTTTCAATGGATCTATTTATGAAAATCAGAGGCCTCAATTTGAACCTGATACATCTTTGGAAGGATCGACTTTGAAATTTTGGGAGCAAAATTGAGTTTTGCTTATTCAATTTAAAGTCATATAGACGCTTTATTCGAACAAATATCACTAGAGTTTTAGAGATCTAGTTATATTTTCTTTTATTTTTCCTTTTTGTTGCCTTCTATTAAAACAAACAATAAAATATATTTTATACAATTTGATATTGTTTTTACAATTTGATATACATGGAAATGTCGACTATACATGTCTACATGTGAGTACACATTGTTGGGTTTTTATCCATCTTGATGACACCAATAAGATATTTTTGGTTGGTTTTTTGTGCCCCTAGTATGCTTGCTTTTGTGCCAAAGAAACATTTCCTTTCGAAATAATCAGTAGATTAAACATTTTTTTCATATTTCAATCATCATCATCATCATCATCATCATCATCATCATCATCATCATCATCAGAGCATTTTCCCAACTATTTGGGGTTAGCTATATGAATCCTGGTTCGCTTCATGATTAATGGAAAGTTTTGGTAAAGTTTTACATAGGCTACCTACCTAAACAACCCACCTCCTTTACCTGGGCTTGGTATGGGTTAAAGGAAAGTTTAATATCCTCACCCTTCTTCGACCATTTTTTTCATATTTCAATGCATAAAAAACTACATATTCTTAGACACATGTACCTGTGGGAATCACTTTTTTCCCCAAAAAAAAAAGAATGATGATGCCTATTTTTTTTACATCTAGCATGCTTAGCCATTTTAAAAAGTAATATTTACTCTCAAAAGAATCAGTAAACAAAAAGTTTTGCACAATTCGATGCATACAAAAGTAACTTTATAAAAGTATGCATGTCGGTATCACTTTTTTCCTTTTCTTCTTTTTTCTTTTCTTTTTTTGAAAATCAATGATGCCAATGAGACGTTTGTTTGTTTTACAACCCCTAGCATGCTTTGTTTCCAAAGTAACAATTTCTCTCAAAAAACTAGTTATTCTCTTTTCATTTGAATGTATTTGAAAATATTCTTTAGATGTCTATCCAGACTTAGACCCAGTAGTACTTCGTGCTTGTGTAGGTTTAGGAGACATGGAAAGACAGCCCCAGCATGCGCAATCAAGGTCTCAAGTCAAACATATTCTACAACAGAGTTTGAGAAAAAATTGAGTACATTCTAATGGATCCACACACAGGAGGCAAAAATTACATTGCCACACACCAAGGAGGAATAACATGGTAAGTGAGAAGCCCCATCAATTGGTGCATATGCACCGTAACATGAACCTGAGGAAGGGGCAGTTGAGGAGCGAAGTGCAGGACAGGTTTACAACCCCATAAGTCTCGATTGCACACTAGCCAAAGATGCTATAGAAGAATGACTAGTGAAACCAGAAGAACCAAACCTCAAGAAGAGGGTGCTTGAAGATGTGATCGATCCAACCAATGAGGGAGGAGAGGAAGGGATGATGGGGAGACTCAACAAGAGGGACAACAAGATGAAGATGGGAAAGATGATGATGCCTTTGATGATGATGAAAAGGGGCGACGGCAACTTCAGGGGGGAAAAGGTGGCAAGCGAGACAGAGGCAACACAAGGAAAGTGCTGAGCACGAGCATGAGGATTAACTAGGCTTAGAGACTGAGGATTAGGGACTGCCTGAGCCACTTAGTCATTTGGGGGTCACTACCAAGATAGCTAGGATGATTATAAAACCTTCATGTCATTGCTATTGGCTATATAATGTACTTTAGGATTAGAGCGCCTCTTTTATAATGTGTTTAGGACTCAAGCAAACTATGTATTTGTCTTTGTCTTTGGATGTCCAACTTCTTCAATATGAAGTTCGAAGTTGGAAATTGATGGGAATCATCTAAATTTGAAATCATGGAAATATATCTCACGGAATCACTGATTGTTAAATTACGATTTCATCATGTACCAAAAATGATAAAAATATCAAAGTGACCCTATCTACAAATACAAGTTAACATTTTATGATTCTTCATTACATCTATAATTTTCCTTTTTTTGGATGTTTCCCTAAGTTTTATGAATATTTTTGGAATTTACCCATAGTTACTAGGATCTTCCAACAAAGGGATCAACTCCACTCCAGAATCTAGCTCTTAAGCTCCAAGGAAGGGAATCTCACTCCTCTATGATTTTTAAACTTTGAAATCTCAATCCTTCCTACTAAGGATCAAGATCCAAGCTACAGAGGATCCATATTCCCTAACTTTGTAGTATTGTATAGTAGTATAGTATAGCAATGTGGTATAGTGTAGTAGCATGGTAGAGCAATATAACATAGTCTAGCAGTATGGTGTAGTTTAGCAGTAGTGTAATATACATTATACTTGTATAGAGTAAATCTAAATATAGTAGAATGTAGAATAATATAGTAGAATATTGTGTATACTGTATAGCATAGTATGGCAGTAATGGTATAGAAATATTTTATAGCAATATACTATTGTATGGAAGTTTGGTAGAGTATGGTAGTATATTCTATACTAATATAGTAGTTAAGTGCTCTCTTCAATTTTTAATCAAATACACCTCGGTCCTATATAATTTATCATTCTATCTCCATTAAGTTTTAGATCAAGCTCCCCTAGATATTAGGATTAAGATCCCTAGATTTCAAGGTGTGCGGACTGCAATCTCTACCATAAGGAGCCTCCAACTTGGCATTATTTGTCGGTCCTAAACCTGATCTCGGATTTGATTTAATCATAATAACTAAGATTTCACCTTTTTTTTTTTTCCTTTTTCTTTTTCTAGACCTGAGTGAAACCCAACAAGTCAACATTGAACTCGCTAAATTGACTTGGACCGGTCCATACCTGGTTATAGGATGGAGTCCAGGTTTTAGAAAATTAATGAAAACAAAGTGAGATTTATCATCCATGAACATGGCTAAGGAATTATGAAATAAACAGGGTTTCAAAAACAGTCCGCCCGGTACCTAGGCGGCCTGAACAAAAAAACCGCACGCCTCAACCCAAGCGGCACGGGCGGTTGTACCTGAGAGGGTGCCCAGGGCCATAAGGCATTTTTCGATTTTTAAAGTCACCCAAAAGAGCAAAGGGGGTCATTTTAACCCCAAGTTTGTATAAAAATGTTATGGTTATTTTTGAACCCCCAAATTGAAAAATAAAAAATAAACCCTCAATCTCTAAAGTGGTGCTAAGAATTTGCACCGCAGGCGCCCGAGGTTCTGGGCGCCAGGTAGGCCGCCTAGCGTTTTTTGAAACCTTGGAAATAAATTACCAAGTCCTTTTTCCCTTGATTATTAACAGAGAAGATAAAACCTTAGAAAGTTTAAATCTTTCATGATTAAGATAGAAGAAACCCTCTTAGAACTAATAAGCTTGTTATGGTGATCAGCAATATTCTGCAATGTGTTTCCTTTCTGAGAAAGTTTGTTTAGTCAGAATTATGTCAATGAATTAGTAAAATTCCTAGAGAGAGAAGTTTTGAATGATGCTAAATAGTATGCAATCTCTAAAAATAAACTTGTTTAGTGAAGGCCACATGACCTAAATTGTGCCCCCATAAGGGCAGTCACAGCCATGGGTCAGGGATCATCATGGTCACGGTCATGGTTCCAATACATTCTCCACATGCTACAATTGCCAAGCATTCTTTCTAGTCCACCAAATTGCCCAAATCATCAATAAATGGGCTGAACAGGGGAACCTTAAGATCAAGCAAGGACCCCTGCAATGAAGAAATTATGCAACAAAAAAGAATGGAAAATTTTCATTATCAAAATGGGTTCCCAATTCATTGGATAGGAACAATTTAGAACAATTGGTTTAAGGAAGAGTAATTGTTTAGGCCCTTGCCTCGGCTGAAAAAGTGTGTGCCCCCTCATTTCTCCATATTTTGGATGATTGAAAACCCAAAAATCTGCAAATGCATCCTATTGAGCCCCAAGATCAAGATCCTGAAAAAATATGGATTTGGAGGCCCAAATGCTCCATATTGAATTCTATCAACATGTTATATAGATTGTTCATTTCAATGGATCCTAAATCAATCAGAATTGCATAATTTTAGGAGCTCCAAATCCATTTTTCGAGAGTGGAAATGGACTTGAAGGTGTTTAATATGGTTCTTGGGTCCTCAATCCATCAGAAAGATGGATTGGGGAAGCGTCATGGAGCTTGCATGAGGTAGCCGCACACTGCCCTTCATTTAATTTGAGAAAATATGTGTGATTACTCATTCGATGGTTGTTTAAGCATTGGGATATACATGCAATACAAATCAGAACTATAACAAAGACACTTTGGGACATCATATATGAATAAACATAACACCTTTCTTGAGTGCAAATTGCAATCGTTAGGAAGCTGCGGGTGGGAGGAGGATTCAGAAATTGGCTGATTTAGTAAACAGTTGCCAAAATATCACAATGGTCATTAACAATACGCAACCTTGAGAATGACAAATGTAAACTTACTTTGCAATCTTTTCTGGCGTCACGTACAATAACTTATAAGTACAGCAACCTGAAGCTAGCTCTCTAAATATTTGTTGCTGCTCACTCCAATCCATATTTGCACTAAGGTAAGCAGCGGAGATATTCGCCTACAATAATGGTTTGAAAGAAAGTTCGTTATTTAATTTGCCAAGAAAGAGTAAACAGTTCATTATTTAACTGTAGAACAGAATGGCACGAGGGATATCTATAAAAGTTATTGAGCATGAAATGCATACCTGCAACAAATGCATGATCTGATCCTGAATAAGGGAGACCAAAGGGGAAACAACTAAGGTGATCCCTGGACTGATAAGAGCAGGAAGCTGCAAAAAAGGAAAATAGAAAACCAGAGAACAATCATAAAAGATAAGCTTCAAAATGTACAATGAAGAAATACAAGGACAAAAGAACCTAAAACAGTTATTAAAAGCAAACATCATGCTTTAAATCTGCCACCACAAACAGTACCACACCACCAAAGGCAACCTCACCGAGATGACACACCAATGAAACCCCTGAAAGAGGTAATGCAAAGAAAGCATCTATTTTGCAAAAGACAAGTCTAGTGTCCCCCCATGACAAAACAATTCCATATACTGTGTACTACAGTTTGAGTGTATAGTTTAAGTTTGCATCTCTCTGATTTTATTGTATATACTCGATGCCTCGTAATTCACATGTCCTACATAACTGAATACATACAAAGACTTGCTTAGAGATATTACAGACCTCAGTTTGCCAAAGGACAACTTCGGATAATTTCACCTTTTTCCTGGAGGCATATTAGGGTTTTTTTTCTAGTATTTTTCTCCAATATTACAGTTACTTCCACTCCAGTTTATCTTTTTATCAATACTACTATTACTTGGATGAAAATGAACATGGTTTCAAATGATGCCAAATTTTTTATATTTAAATTTAAAAAATAAAAATAAAAAAAACTCCTCTGGTAGCATGCATTAAATGAAGGGGTATCTCATTCAAAAGTTCGGACAAAAGCTCATCCAACTACAAAACACTGAATAGGGGATAGTTCAAGCTATTTTGCAAGAAATTAGAAAAAAGAACTAGAGAACCCTTTCAGACACCTACGGACAACACAACAGATAAAGACAGCTGTTGGTACGTGGTAGTAGCAAGGACAGTGCAAAAAATCAAAATTGGAGAGTTTACCAATGGCTTTCTTGACAAACAAGTCCAGGGCTTAACCTAAGCACATCAGTGGGGCAAAATACAATAGAACACATGCGTGAAACAGCATGACGAAGTATTCATACCAATTACTTTGAAACCAAAATTACAAACACTTTGATATTTTTATCTGTTTTAACCTCTCCTTTTTCAGTAATATTTTTCTGTCAAAAATACATCATATTGATCTTACGGGTAAGACCAGAGCCAGCCAGACTGGCCCCCTCTCTGGTTCAACCTGGTTATGATTTTTTAAACTACATAATTCAACATCACATTGCCAGAAAAAAACAAAGCATCTTGTCTAAAATGACTGTGGACAATATTTCCCTCAAATGAGTATTATATGTGTTCCTAAATGAGACTATGGATCATGCTAGTTTTGTAAGGGACCTACCGTCCTAGATTTCAAAGAATGCCAAGGCTACCCTGGTTATTCAAACTAGTTGATAGAATAATATCATGCCATGGAAATTTTCCACCATTCCAATAAATAACTTCGGATATTATTAATGTACAGGACAAAGATGTGTCTAATCAGCTTAGTTGTTAATTAATGATGAATGCTCAAAACCTACGTCTAATATGATCTGCAGGGCATCATCCATGCATGTTTCTTATTCAGTGACACAACATTTGATTAGATCCACCCTCAAAAATAAGTCAGCAGATCATTATATGAGCTATGTTACATGAGTCATGATACACATACAGATTCTAGACACAATAGGAGCACAACTACACAGACAGCAGTTTTCAGAGGGAAATACAATAGATACATATGAATGATTTTTTTTATAGCTAAAACTTACAATTATAAATTATTCCTAAAACTTCCTATAAAAGAAAAAAGTATTAGGACCCTCATATTCAAGTAGGATATAAGTCATCATATTATGCCGGTCATCACATTTCATAGATAAAGAAGAATAATGAGATACAAAAACAACAATAATATCAATGACCGCTTAAAAAGACCTAATCTATCATATTTAACGACCACAATGTTTGGACACCGTAATCATATCCAAATTAGGATAGGATATCGAGATGTTTCCCGGATGACCCACTAGGCCTTGAGCGTGACATAGAGGACATGAATGCCCCTCTTTTTAAGTGAATCATATGTTTCTAAGTGTTGAGTTAATATAAAGTTTATGCAATACTAAACATTAACACCAGATGGAATTCTAGGATCCACCACCTAACCGTTAAGATGCAATATATGGATCCCATGAACTTAATTTAGAAGCTGGTTGGTCATTTTGTAGAATATAAGGAAACTAAATGGCTAGGGCTTCCATGCAATAAGAAAATAAAAATAATGCCCTGACCTGATATGTCAAGCTCTTTCCGCCACCAGTAGGCATCATCACGAAAACATCATGTCCACTCATAGTTGCATTAATCACTTCCCTTTGATTAGGACGAAATGAATGGTTTCCAAACACTTTCTTGTTGTTCACCTGGTAAAAGATACATCTTCAGAAACCTTTGCCAAAAGAAGATTATCACAGAGAACAAAAATTCATAGAGAATAACCTCTAACTTCTTTGTCCATGGAAAGCTTGTAAGACTCCACCTTGAATCACAAGAACCATCTGTGTAATTTACTTCAACAAACTTCCGAGTAAATAGTTCCCTTTCTACATAGCGTGACTGATCAAAACTCCTTTCTACAGAAAAAAAGGGCATCGGTGATGGATTACACCATGGAGAATCGAACCTTGGTGGATCAATAGTGTAACTATTTGACATTTTAACATTATGAGGAGTCTGGGGATTGAAGACCCCAGCAGTTGATGTAGATGCTAAGGAATGAGACCTTTGTCTCTCTTCATCCCCACCTGAGCAACGAAGATATTTTTCAAGATGTTGAATCTGTTTATTCAACTGCAACCTGAGCATTAAATTGAGAATAGCAATGTAAACATGAATTTGTAAGTATGCACACCTAAAAAAAAGACTACAAAGGGTAGGTGCAATTCATTACGCTAAAAACCAACCGTTCCTGACGAAGCTTTTCTGAGTTTTCAGGGATAAGATTAGTAGCATTGTCAAGAAGTTCATTTGAAACAGTAATCAATCGGTCTTTCATCTCCTGCAAATGTAATGCGGCTTTGGGACAAAGTGATACCTGGCACACATGTATCAAAGAAAATTGTTTCTAAAGGTAAAAAGAGCTTTCTTTTTCCAGGGTAGTTTAAAGTAAAAAGCTTAATTTGAAAAAACACAAGCAAAAAGGAGGAAAGATCTACCTCAAAATTGTGATTACACTTTGTGTTCAATTCAGGTGGTGGTGGACATCCATTAGGATATCTTATATTCCCTTTATTCCCCACAGGCGATACTGGTGAAATGTTAGAAAGTGATGGCTGTGGGGTGCCAGTAGCTTCATAGTGTTTCAAAACTATCTGGTCAACATCAATGCTCTGAAATCCAAAGACAAAAGTGTCGTTAGCACTACTCAAAGCCAAAATATAAACACAGATGCCAATGCATAAGATCATTCTGAATAGGTAGCTAGTAAAACAAACCTTTAGAATTTCATCATCATCAATAGCATCAAAAATAGTTTCTCCAAACTCATTGCATGGAGGGACATGCATATTGGGCTTGCCAGGAGTCACTGTTGATGTTACCTCTGCATCTACATGCCCAAACTCACGCTTATCCATAACAGTTCTGGTGGAGCTCATCTCAGTTCCAAGTAGAGAATCACTAACATGGCTAATAGATCTGCCATCCATAGATGCAACAACATGTGAACTGAGATTCCTTTGATGTTGCTGTGAAACTCCAGCCATCATAGTTCCAGTAAGATTTGGGGCCCGTGTTTTCATTTCTTCAGAAGCCACATTTGGGTAGTCATAAGACGAATTGCATAGAGAATTTGTTTTTTGATGATCCTCAGTAAAATATGATTTCTTTGAGGCAGTAGTATCGGAAACCCTGCTCTGAACAACTGGTGCAGTAATCCCAGGTCTTAAATACCCTTTGCATTTAACCAGAAGTCTAGTGACCGCATCAAAATTCTGCCACATAACCATTATTAACCATTTCAATAGACACGCATGCACTAAAGCACATGGCACTCAGAAGATAATGGTTTGTGATTTTTAGTCACAACTTAGCTTTCCATAGAATTGGAAGGATTGTAGGACATTACCTTTTTTACTTGAAACATATTGGGCAGCGTTTCAGGACGTTGCACCACACAAGGCATTGACCTGCAATCAAAACAAAATAACTGGATTGACAAGGGGTATGATAGTATGACAATGCAGCATAAACTAGCAACGATATTGACATTCAGTTGCAAGTATTCTATATATCGTGACACAACATACGCGAAACATATTGCATATTGGAAGAAAGCCTGCATCAGATTAGAAAATGGAGAATCTCGGATTAATATGACAGACACAGATTACATCTAAGGGAAAACATATTAACCATATCTAAGAAAAATAAAAAAATAAACAGGTCTGTTGTCAGGCAAAAAATACACACCTCTGAGGTTGCTTTCCCTCTGAAAAAGGGTTTTGATTTGGTAAAGAGTATTGGAAGTTTGAGATCAGATGCTTATCCTGACATGAGAAATTTTCAACCCTATTAGCGTGATGCAGCCAATTGATCTCCGGAAAACTACCTTTCGGTACAGGACCCTTCCCTCGACTGTTTTCCCTACAACAAAATCAAAAATATCAGGAACAATCAAAGAAAAAACAAGCAATTGTTAAGGGGAAATCTTAAAACGGGTGATCAAACAAAGAACATCTATGCATAGATGATAAAAAAAGCATACACTTGTGAATCTTCACATTGAAGTTTCCCCTTAGTCATCAGTCACCATTCTTGATAAGCTTTCATTGAAATACTCGTTCCTACATCACGGCGCGCAGCGTGATGCTAAATCAACACAACCGCGACTGCGAAATCAACATGGCATTAGAAATGATGGGTTTTTCGAGAGAGAGAATGTCAAATCAAAGGTGGAGAAGCATTTGTGGGGTTTGTTTTCTGGTTCTCGGGTGGAGGGGGATTTGGAGGGAGAAAGATTTTGAAAACGTGGATTGCAGGCAGAGAGAATGCAGAAATGAAATGAGAGAGAGAGAGAATGTGGAGGGAAATGCGGTGAAGTTTTTAGGCTGCAAAATTTAAGCCGTCGACCGCGTGCGGCGCCAAGCGTAAGCCCTCCACAGACCAAGCCTAGGCCAGCCTTTGGACAAAGGAGCAATCATCATCTCTAGATACAATTTGGAGAAAATTACATAAAAATTTGTTATATTTTGTGTTATTATCGATATATCAAATAGTTTTTTTTATTATATGTATATTTTTTTATTTTTTTTTAACGTAATTTATTTAAAAAGACCATTTTACCCTTTTTGGATGTTGAACATCCGAATTGGTGGGATTTTCGGATGTTCATCATCCAAAAATAGGGCTAAAGTTAAACGTCAAATTTCTTATTTTCAAATGTTGAACATTCGAAATTAATGATTTTTCAGATGTTGAACATCCGAAAATACCCCGACAGTTTAACGTTAAGTACAATATTTTTGGATGTTGAACATTCAAATTTAAGAGATTTTTAGATGTTCAACATCCGAATACAAAAAAGACGAAGGTTTATTTAGCTATCAGGGTATTTTCGGATATTGAACATCCGAAAATCTCTTAAATTTAGATGTTCAACATCCGAAAATGTTATACTTAACGTTAAACTATCGGGGTATTTTTTAATGTTGAACATCCAAAATCCCTTAATTTCGGATATTCAACATTTGAAAATAAGAAATTTAAAATTTAACTTTCAGCCTATTTTCGGATGTTGAACATCCGAAAAAGGGTAAAATGGTCTTTTTAAAAAATTTATGTTATAAAAGATAAAAAATGGATATACATGTAATAACAGAAACTATTTGATATATCCATAATAACGCAAAGTATAACGGATTTTTATGTAATTTTCCCTACAATTTTATGAGCCATAGGACTTATTGTAAAAATACGTCAACTCTTTGTAATTCAATTTTGAGATTGATTTTCGACTTAATTTTTCAAGCATATGTAACATCTAACAGGAAAGGTTTCTATGCTTCCCCTACAGCATAGAAGTTCCCTTCCCCTACCATCCAGCTGTCCAATTTTGATAAAGAGAGCTACACCATTTGATCTTAGATCTGACGTCTCAAAGTATTTTATTTTTAGTTTTCTTACACAAATTGTAAGAATATGAAATTTGGTGCGTGTGATCTTCTCATTGGGGCATATCTATAAAAAAATATTAAAAATAATTTTTTGATAAAATATCATGACCAAAATGCCCGTTGAAACTTTCAAGGGTATTTTGGTTATTTTATTTTATTGAAAATATTTTTTTATATTTTTCACTAGTGCAAGTTTAATAGAGAAATTGATGTCCAAAATTTGGTATCAAAATAGTTTATAGAAGAAAAAATTAAAAATAAAATGGTGTAGAGACGTGACATTGTGATTGGAGCAATCTTGGCCCTCCATTCAGAATGGACGGTTGGATAAAGGGGACCATATTTAACATGGAGAACATCAATGTGTAAAATAGAATAGTTTAGAATTTAACAATGATAATTTTTTAAAGAAAATTTTCAACCATTAATTTTGCCTTTTTTAAAGCGTGTTTGAAACATAGAAATTTGGGGGAGGAAGAAGGAACTTCCCTATAACTATACAACTCCTGTGTTTGATGCAAAGAATTTATGTTTAAAATGAAAGAACTTAACATAGGAAATTTGCCCTCAAAGATGACTTCTTCCTTAATCCATATATCAGAAGCCCACATTGGCTTCCGTCCTCAAGCCGCTACCTCCTCCACACCTCCGCCTCCTTCTCCAGCAGAAGAGACGCCTCCCTCATCTCTCGCAGGTACCTATAATCTTTCTCTCTCTCTCTCTCCTATTCGATTCTACCGAATCCATCTCTCCCTTGCTTTATCGATTCTCCCAAATTGGTTCTGTCTCCACAATAAAACGTTTTTTACACCTTCCCACCACAAAAACTACCCCAATCTTTTTTCATTTTCTCGAAGCCTTTTCAAGGTGAGTTTCTCTCTCTCTAAAACCTTAATTTTTCAAAACTCTTTAAGGAAAATTAGAAAAAACCCCTCGGGCTACGCTTCCTATCCAACTTACCCCAACCAAACTTTTTCTCTCACTTTTTTCCCCAAATGAAACTTTCTATGCAAATACCCCTTAAGGGAAAAAGTTCATTTTTTTAGACGGAAATGCGCTTCCCGTACACAAAATTCATTTTAGACAAATTTGACGTTAACTTTTGGACCCAAGTAGAGCGCATCATCACATTGTCGGACCGCACAAGTGTCAGACCACCTTTGCAACTGTTGGACCGCCCTTTGCAACTGCTAGACTGCCCTTGGCAACTGTCGGACCGCCCTTTTCAACTGCCGGATGCCCATTGAAACTGTTAGACCGCCCTTTGCAACTGTCGAACCACCCTTTTCAATTGTTGGACTACCCTTTTCAATTGCTGAAAAACACTTTACACAATGCCGGAGCCTTACTGCTGAACCGCACTTTACATAGTGTTGGAACCTTACTGTCGTACCGAACTTTACACAGTGTTGGAGCACTATTGTCGGACCGCACTTAAACGGTACTAGAGCCCCCTATTTTTGGGAGATAGAGGAAAGAGAGGCGTGGATAAGGTAAACGTAAGGGATGGTAGTTTAGGCATTTTTTACTTTTTCTTTTGGTTGGGGGGTTTTTGCATAAAAAGTATATTTTGGGAGAAAAAGTGAGAGAAAAAGTTCGGTTGGGGGTAAGTTGCATAAAAAGTGTAGTATGAGTGGTTTTTCAATAATTTTTCCAACTCTTTATTTCCTTTTTTATTTACATCCCTCTTACTTCCATATTTGTATCTCTTACCATGCCTTAGCTGTCTAAAATCCCAGTTTCATTCTCTCTTTCTATCTATGAGATATATCTTTCTCTATCGCCATAACCCTCTAATCATAGTTACAGTGTTGTCCATGGATGTCTGAGAAGCCTCTTACTTTTTGGTATTGAATATTGCAGTGACTCATTTCTCTAGGTTTAGTTCTATTTTTTATAGATCATGGCTTTTAATCAGTGGTTTAAAAAAAAGATCGGTGCCCCGAATTGGGCACTTCAAATACCCATCTAGATCAAGGAATCGGCGATTTGAATCGAGAATCGGCCGAATCGATTGGATTCATTCTTAAAAAGTCCAAAAAAATATCTTAAAATTTATTATAAATGTTGGTTTTTAAGAGTCTAATAAGAAATTGGGATACTCCATTAAAAAATTTCATTTTTCTGCATCAATATGTGAACTACTGTTAACTATTAAATTTACATCACACAAAATGTGAAGCATAGAATTATTGTGGATGAAGTATAAATCTCTAAAAATAATGTTATTTTAGTTTCTAAACGTAAGGAGTGATGAATTATGTATTTTCATTACTTTGTAAAATAAGTGAATACTGATACGGTTTTTTGTCTGGATGTTTGTATAATTATTAATTATAATATAGTATTATAATATTATAAATAATAATAATTTATAATATAAAGTGTAATTAGAATCATATCAAAATATTAAATATTTATTAATTCCTTTAACTCGTCCAAAATTATACAACCTAACTAACTATAATATTATATAATGAAATTGAAATTGCTGGTTTGTATTTTATAAATATTGTACTATACAAATAAGAATAAATCTAAAATGTTTTATAATATCATCTAATTTAAAAACGTTATTTACAACTACAAGAAAAATTATACATTATATAATTTATAATGTAAATAAAGTAATAAATAAAATACAAGATTTGGTTATCAATGTATAATTATTCCTTATAATATTATAGCAAATATGATTAAAAAATTATTAAAAAATGCTTCCATATCATATGATTAAAAATAAAAATAAAAATAAAAACCCCCCCAATAAATTGTAATGTTATGATATTATAAATTTCAAAAAATTTTATCGAAAAAAATGAAAATAAAGATATCAAAATTTTAAAAATAAAAAAATGCCTATCGACAACATTCACAACAGTTACAACAAAATAAAAATACATATGGAAATAAAATCTAATGAAAAACCCATTATACTAATAAATAGCAAAAACTTTTATAAGACAATTTTTTAATTTAACACTGTAATTATTTCATTTAATTAAAAAAATATGTTGATGAGGCTCATTGAATGTGACACACTAATTTGAAAACATGATATGCTAAGATTTATAAATTAATTGACACTCTCATTAATATTAGTAAATTAAATGATATGCTCATTAATTTATTTTTTATATTATGATTAAAAAATAAAACCCTTTATAAATTTTAATATTATGACACTAAAAAAAAATTCTAAAAAATATTTTACTTGGAAATTGGAAAATAAAGATATTAAAATTCAAAAAATAAAAAAATAGCATGTTCATTTCCCTAAGTTGACCCACTCCGTTTATTGTTGTAAAAAAAAAAAAAGTTGCATGGAGTAGAAAAACAAGCTAGAGAGAGAAAACTATTTTGTAGCATATTATGTGGTTATAAACCATCAAAATTAGCTGTGTATTAAATACACTCTCCATGTTCACACTCGATATTCTTGAAAACTTTGGCAAACCTCCACTTTAATTCAAATCGAGGGGTAAATTTGGTACTTTTGGGCTCAAAATAAGAAGCGTGACTCAACGATTCTCCATGCCTTTCAAGTTGAAAGAATGCAAAATTATCCCACATCTCACAATGGGAGGATCAAATGGCCATATAAAAGCTATGACCTTTAAAGGGTGATAAACAAGTTGTCGATTTCGTGGGGAGCTTGACAGAACATTGTTTCAAATGTACTAATTTTTCTGTACTTAGTTTTTTTTTTTTGACTTTTTTTTTTTATATTTTGATGTTGTTTTATTAGTATGAGTTTTTTAGTTATGACATATTGCTTTGTCCTTTTTTTTTTATTTTGGTGTTTGTTTTTTATTATGATAATTTTCTCATAGATTAAACTTTTTTTGTTTACCAAATTACATGTGTTTGCTCTTGAGTTGCTTACTTTATATTCAAGTAGCAGTTCATCTCATATTTGGGGTTTTGGGTTTGGACTCCTAACTCGCCAAACTAAATAAGGACGTGATTTATTTAAGTACATGTTGGAGCTTCT